TTATTATTTTGAACAATGAATGAATCTAAATGATAAAACTAAATCGTTCGATAAATGTTTTCGTGATGTAAAAATGATTCTTCTTGTTTAATATATTGATGGACGATCGATCGCTTCGAGCAAATTATAAGAGGATTTATAAACGTGCTCCCTTGTTTTATTATGAAGCTTGTTACAAAAATTGTAAAAAAATTTTAACTACATAATAACGTTACGTTCGATTGTCTCTTCTCGTTGCCCCTTTCTCAGTTCTCAATTTTATTTTATTGTTAAACAGAGAAAATCTATATTATAATATTTTCCCTACATATTAAAAATATTTGTTTCATTTCTTTTTTTTTTTTTTTAATGATAGATATAAAAGATACGTAACTTCGTTTGTTCAATTGGATAAGATAAATTTTCCAGTCTGTCGTGCAAAAGTTAATGATAAGTGAAATTGTTAAAAAGAGAAAAAAAAATTGGAATTCTTAGGGAGGAGTTTCAGATTCTTTGAAAATCTGCTTCGTTTATGCACGCTCGCGTGCGTAGCTTTGCAAGAAGTTCCCGTGAAAATTAAATGCCTCTCGCTGCATAATTCCTCCTTTTTTTTTCTTTTTTTTTTTTTTCTTCTTTCTTCCCCTCTCCCAGCCTCTTTTATTTATAGTTCGGTTTAAGCGCACCGCCTATCGTACCGAGAATGTTAATGTGCGATGATAAATTTATTACAAAAAAGTTTAGAGAGCCTAACCTGGCCGTGATCCCGCGGCTTTTTTAAACTTTAAATCATTGTTTCTTCGGGGTTTCCAACCCCCCTCCCTCCATCCAAGTTTCCATCCGCTATCTCGAAAATTTAAATAGTTGTGCAGTTGTGAGTGAAACCACAACATTACCTACTTTTATATAACGGGGAAGTTTCAGATCTTTTATCCTGTAATATTTTCCAAGAATTACAAGCGCGTAATTTCGATCGTTGGATTCTTCTTCTTGAAAATCAAAATAATTGGCAACTAAATATCGATAACTAGGAGCACAAGCTTTTTTCTTTTTTTATTAATTACAACAAAAAAGTTTAAATCATTCATACGTAAATATTAGTTAGAATATACGAAAGATTAAATTTTTTTTTTCGATAATTTGGTAATAAAAAAAAAATTATGCTTCTGGAAAAATTTTTGTTCATTCAGACGCGATATATAACGAATAATAACGAGTCCTATTTTTCACATTTTCAACAGATAGGAAAGTAAGCAATGTGCAATTTGCGCCACGTTCGATCTGGCTATAAGTAACTATCCGCATTTTCCAGTTATACACAACCGATCTAATCTATCCATCAGAAGTAACAACACGCAACACGCGACCGACTTGTATTGCATCGTACTACTGAACCGCGTCATTCATTTCCCCATACATTCGATCAAATTACATTGCAAAATTTAAAATTCCATTACTAAAAAGAAATCCATTTGAAATAGAAAAAAAGAAAGGAGGGGGAAAATGAGCAACGTGTCGATGCAAAAAAAAAAAAAA